GACTCGATAGTACAGACTTCTCGAAATCTGTGATAGAGATAACAACATAACGTATACAATCACTGTACATGGAATACGGCATCTGCTCAGCGACCTCCGGATTTAGGGGGTCTCCAAGGCAGGAAATACCCGCAAAAAGCCCGCGAAAGGGGGGTTCAGAAATTTTGGCAGCCCTGAGATAAGGGGGTGCTTTCAAAAAGAGGGAACGAGCATATGCGTACCCTAAATAACACTGAGTGGAGGGGCCGGGACTAGTAGGTGGTAGTATCATGGCAAACACATTCATCTGTCTGTCAAAAATAGTAAAATGGTTGGGTTAAAGCTCAAGCTCAGCTTTTGTTCACAGCCTGTGGAGGTGAATGGGCCAGCGGAGGGTTATGCCGCCATAGCACAGGTTGACAAAGTACGCCAGGAGCCAGAAAAGATAAAAAAGTGGCGAGAAGAACAGAAGGATCGATTAGCAAAGAAAGGTTGGACATGCATGGCTTCTTATTTCGTTCTCGTTTTATATTGATCTTGGTTGAAGATAGAAGTGTAGAACAGAATGATAGATTGGCAAAGAAAGGTCGAAGGATTTTGCGCTGCCAGATCTTCCGCAGGACTTCTGCCAGTCAACCTGTGATGCGTTTTTATCACATGTGAACAAGCCACAATTTGGCCCGTAGTTCAAGGTAAAAGTAGACCACCTGTGGTCTTTCCTCTCCCATTGTTATCCTGCAGAAGGAAGTAGGTGCACTAGGTGTAAGTAAGTCTTCTCCCTCCAGGGTGACCTTCACCCCTACACAGCAACCAACATTATTGTTGCCATGAAATCGGGCAGTCGATCATATATCAAAAGAACATACATAATAATATATTGTAACTACATGATTATTCTACAATAGATGCAGAGGATGAGAAAAAGAGAACAGATTGGAGAGATCAAGCGAAGAAGGAGCTGGATGAGTGGTATGCCCGTCAAGCCGAGCAACTAGAGAAAACAAAGACTAATAACCGGTAAGAAGAGAAGACGTTTTCAGCTCATCCACGTCTTGGATTCCATGTTTGACCTTCATTGGTCTAGTTTTGTGTATAAAGTTTGGTGCCCTGCACTACCAGGCCTGTAGGCTGTATTATTCAAATAAACGTAATGTTAAAATTTACATATAGGTTGAGAAACCGAGAATCTAGCCTAGGCAGGTGTATGGGGCATGTTTTATGCATCCTACGGATAAGAATTCTTCACCAATCATCCAATTCCAGACTTTTTGCTACCAGTTTCAATTTTAGTGACAGAATGTCGCATAGGGTTCATATCTCAAATCCAGTTTTTAGGCCGTAACTAGTAGTATAGTTATACGTAACGGTAAACTCACACGGTGATGTAAGTGGAAGGATGATTTCACAACACATGCAGACTGCAATGAGCAGGCATTACTGATTTGCTTACGCATGCTCAGCTCACATCTAAGCATTGATTGGCACTAAATGACACAAAATGAAACTAGAACGCATACGCAGCTTACTTCTAAGCACTAACTGACACAAAATGACACTAGATTATTTCAAACGTGCCTCGGAGAACAGCACGTGATGTAAGCTTCATCCTGTGTTCACAGTGCATCAGAGAAGGTATTCATAGAGGAGCGTGACACGGACATTCCCGGAGAAGAGTGGGAACGCATCGCCCGTCTGTGCGACTTCAACCCCAAGACGAGTCGGCACCAGAAGGACGTGTCGCGTCTACGCTCGATCATTCTCCAGCTGAAGCAGCAGCCTCCAAAAACATCGCAGTAGCAGCTTCCTCCGAAGACCTAGCAGCAGCAGCAGCATCCTCTGAAGACCTCGTATTAGCAGCATCCTCTGAAGACCTCGCTGTAGTAGCATGCTCCAAAGACATCGCAGTAGCAGCATCCTCTGAATACCTCGCTGTAGCAGCATGCTCCAAAGACATCGCAGTAGCAGCATCCTCCGAGGACCTTGCAGCAGCAGCAGCAGCAGCCTCCGAGGACATCGCAGCAGCAGCAGCAGCCTCCGAGGACATCGCAGCAGCAGCAGCCTCTGAAGACCTCGCTGTAGCAGCATGCTCCAAAGACATTGCAGTAGCAGCCGCCTCCGAGGACATCGCAGTAGCAGCCGCCTCCGAGGACATCGCAGTAGCAGCAGCAGCAGCCTCTGAAGATCTCGTATTAGCAGCAGCCTCCAAAGACCTCACAGTAGCAGCTGCCAGACTTGCATCCGGTTTGTCCTCACATCACTTTTCTTCTAGAATAAATGTTGATGTCTGACAATGGCATACAGACCTCGCCGCTGCCGCATTCAAAGCAGCCCGGTGTTTTCTTTTATGCCACTCTGAATCGCTTTCATTCGGAATAAATTATGTTGATGTCCGACTGGGGTATAGAGATCTCACAGTAGCAGCCGGTTAGTGGTAGCACCACTCTGTATCTCTTCGTCCTAACTGTACAGCACATAGGTGTGAGAATAGGGTGGTATATATATCCACTAGTGTCCTGCAACTTATCTTCAGGGTTCGTATGGCTGAGAGGGTCTATGTCCCCCGCGGTACTGCCGAAACGTACACTGGGTACGGTCTGGTATACCGGAACGTACCCTGGTACTATCTAATATGACGGACCATACCTCGCCTACTCCACTAACGAGTCTAGGGAGTCGCCTACGCCTACTCCCTAACCCTAACCATATCAAATAGTGACCAGGGTACGTTCCGGCAGTACCCTGGGGGACATAGGACCCTATGAGCGTTCGTATGTGTACTGGAAAACCTGAAAAAAGTCATGGAATTTTGAAATGACATGTTTATGGTCTGGAAAGTCCTGGTAAATAGGTGATTGTACTGGAAAATGGGCTATTCCTGTTTTGTGTCCCAGAAAGCTCTTGAAATTGAGAAGAATTCTGAGCATGAGCCCTTAATAGTGGCAAAATACCTTGAATTCTTGCATTTAGAAATTCATTTTCTCAGGCTTTAAAATAATAATTTATTGCATTGCGGCCAACATTAGTTATTACTATGTATAAGTAAAACATGGCTGCTTAGTTATGTATATTGGCTCAGTTCATCGTGATTGTGATTAGAACGCTTGGAGTTGAAACTCCAATTAATAACAGTTGATCCCAAGTATATACAAAGTTACATGTAGTTAGCTGGGATCGCATTAGAAGTTTGTTAGTTTGTGCAAGTCATGTCATGTCTCATTTGACAAGCAGTAACTGTAAAGGTTACTGCAACTGTTAGTGTATCGATGTATCTTAAACATTATATCAAGGCTCTATAATACCATAGAAGAAACAACAGCCAAACTGAATGCCATGTCATAGCTTTAGTCTAATCGTGTAAACTTACACACATACTATTAGTTTGAACTTTGCATGCGTATAAACGTTGGATAATTGGACTGCAACTACGTGGTTTTTGTCATTGTTCAATCCGTATAATTATGGGCTCTTCATTGTACTTCATTCACACAGACCAATAAATATGACCACTTAGGTAACTGAAATATTTATTGTAAAATAGAAAGCCTGGTTTCTAGAGCCCTATTTGTTTGTCTGTAGTAGTTACTTGACATTGCTATGTTTACTCAACTTATACTGGATGCAGTATAGCGTTTTATTGCATTCGTCCAGTATTCTTTTGCACACGGAGCTAGAATCTCAACCGTTTGGCATGGCTTTGTTGCATTGTCAAAATGTTTTTCACTGTTCTCCGTCTTGTTTTGGCCTGTCAATAACTTCCTTGTGAAGGAGGCCTCCCGTGCCACAAATCACAAGTTAGCAGTTTACTATCGTGAGATTGTGCGTTTATACTTGCCTATGCGTGCTCGGGATTTTGTTTGTGCCTAGCTTTATGAGAATTTCTTGGTCGATGTCCATACTTTAAGTTAAGTGGTTCTGTATTGATTGGGTCCGTGTAAAACTTATTTATAATGAAAGGCTTTAGTGTGGTTATTTCCTTGGTTTTGATTTGCTGCATGTTCAGGTATATGTAAAATGGCAAATGCAAAATGTAATATTGCAAACCCCCATGTCAATAAACAGTTCATTAGTAATGTGAAAATGTGGTAAGCATGTCCTCTGTTATTGGTGATTTAGACGATGTAGAAAATTCAAAGAACCGACTTTTAAGTGTATGTGAAATTTCAACCGTAGCTATTTAATGATCATGAAATAATGACTTAACTTCACCTAAAGCCTGCCTTATGGGTTAAGAAAAATAAGAATTGATATAGACATCCAGAGCAGCACATTAGCAGCCGTCTTTGCTTCTGTCCAACTGTATTGCGGCATATAGATGGGCCGAATATACAAAGGAGTCGTCCAAAAACACTTAATCTATTATACATTCTACCATGCATGCTTCTATTATCATGAGTTATATAATATGCACATATATTGTTTGCATGTGTATTATTTAATTCCTGACGTAATATCATCAGAAGACTGACACCATACATGCATGGCAATGTTTACCACCAATCACTCCAAGCATTGTTTCTCAATTACCCACACTAACTACCAATTGTTTGTTTAAATGTACACTCTGCCACACACCATTGTAGCTACTAAACTAGGTGTAAATGTGCAAGTGCTAGATCATATTAACATAGTGTGACAGCCTGCCTACAAAATCAAATTGAAATATTATTGTCACTGCTCACTGACAATCACTTTTAGTCTAGGAACTTCCCGGAGCTATATTACGTGAACATACTAATGTACCTGTCTAACTAGATCATCCTTTACCTAAACTGGCTCTGCAGTGCAAATAAACTCATTAATAAAATTTTCGTAAAAATTGGGATATCAGCGATCAGGTGCACGATCATTAGGAGCAAGATAACAGTTAAGCAAGTCTGTTATTGTGATACTCCTAATATTATATTATATGTGTAGATACTACTCGTTTCCCTGGTTTCCACACAATCTAGATTAAAATATACTAGCTGTGTCAACCAACATTCCCCGAGGGTGTAATATTGTACATTCATACCAACGAATCACTTTAAAAAAACTTGATTCCCCTTACAGAAAATCACATGAGGGACGTTTTTACTACAACTCATTAATTAGTCATTACTTCCATAAACAACTCTTGACTTCTCCTAGAAAATTACCATTTCCCACTCAAAGAATTCCTGAGTATGGCCCTGCTCATTACTCGAGGAATTTCTTCAATCAGAATAAAATTATTGTTTTTAACAACAAACTTGACAGAAATAGAAATGCACATAAAAGTTACGTAGAAGAATATAAAAGTTATAGTGGAATATTCACATCAGCAACTGATTTGAATCTAAAGCTAGCACGCGTCTCAGCAGTATAAAACACAGTAGAGCACAATACTTTGCTGCACTACCGCACAGCACTACAAACCCAATGTATCACTGTGCATGTATTGTATCGTTACGCCAATCTAATTGATTAATGATTTTGTGGTGCCAGTTATCTAACTAATCATTTCAGGGGTGGATTGCTAACTACATAATAAAGAAGCCAGTTCTTGCACACACAAGTGATATCAAGAGCAGATAAAGAAGGAGAGCGTACAAGGGTAAAATGCTGAAACCATGCTGCAGTATTAGTCGAATTAATAAACCTTTCCCGTTTATTTTGACGATCCTTTGCAGTATTATTGATTAGCTGTCTTACCTTGTTCATATAAAACAAACCGCATGTCCCTACGATGTCCCTACGCTGAGATAATGAGCGGTGGAAATCTGGTATTTTCGCCGAAACCAGACTCGAGATCAGTGTGAACTGCGACTGTCTCTCGAAGTGTTTCCAGTGTGTTGCTTCCGGTCGCCGCTGTGTAGCGCCATAGTGGCGCTGACTCACGTAATACTACCAGAGTTTACTATACATCCAGCGTGAGGTGGGCGTGAGGTGGGCGTGAGGTGGGGGTCATCACTATGGCAATCAATAACAGACGTCATTCGGGACACGCGAGGTTTCCCGAAGTTATAAACACTTCGGGAGAGGGACGCAGTTCACACTGATCTCGAGTCGGGTTTCGGCGAAAATACCAGATTTTCACCGCTCATTATCTCAGCGTAGGGGCATCGTAGGGACATGCGGTTTGTTTTATATGAACAAGGTAAGACAGCTAATCAATAATACTGCAAAGGATCGTCAAAATAAACGGGAAAAGTTTATTAATTCGACTAATACTGCAGCATGGTTTCAGCATTTTACCCTTGTACGCTCTCCTTCTTTATCTGCTCTTGGTGATATTCATTAAAAAGTTCAAAGTAAGTAGATTTGAATATATATACACTCGTGCAGGGGAATCGCAAGCAAGAAAATAAAAAGCAGCCACGCACGACTACTGACACACCGCCTCACTTCAGGACCGGCGAAGCAAAGTACTGCTGCTTCGGTGTCTTTCCGTGCTTCACCGAATATTTGCCCGTGTTCGGAGTTCTACCGAACACAGACTTGGCACGCTGCGACAGGGTGCCGGTGGACTTGCTCGGTGTCATTCTAGGCGTCTCAACGGGCCCCAGCATGCTGTTGAGGTGGGTCACCGATCGCGCTTCGGGCGTGTGCGGCGTCTTGGCGCCGCCGGCATTCGTCTCAGCCGGGGCCTCGGCGTCGCATCCGTGCACGAACTGATCCCAGTAGTTTCCCGGCAGCTCCATGAGCGCCTGCACGACAGCAAACTGCTTGCACGTCTCGTCGCTCATCATGTTCAGGTTGACGTCGGGGCCGCTGTAGCCGACCAGCGTCGGCCCGAACACCTTCGATAAATTATCCGTCGACATCTTCGTCTCGCGGCAGCTCGCGACTTTCTGCAGGTGCAGGACGACGTACGCCATCGTGTCCCTGTTCGCTTCGGGCAGCGAGTCGATCACGTTGTAGAGGTGGTGGATGCTCTCGCGCTCGGCCGCCTGCACGAAAGCACTCCACAGCTTGTGCGTGACGAGCGGTTCCTTGAGCGTGCGCAAGAAGAGCTTGATCGTACCGCAGACGACGTGGATGTCGACGATGCGCGAGAGATTCGGCATGCCCCTCCCGCGCAGGAACGTGTCCTTCAGCTCCCTCACCTCCCGCTCCGAGCCGGGCACCCGGTAGATGCCGACCTCGTTGAGGCCTCGCCGCTCGACCTCCTTCACGCAGTGGACGATGAGTGCGGGGATGTACGGAGGGTAGGGCGGCGCGAAGTCGGCGACGAACCCGACCGTCGTCACGGAGGTTGGGGTTCCGACGATGGATACGCACGGCAGCGGCACCTGGTCCTTGCAGTCCTGGTGGCACGTCGCCTTGCAGTCCTTGCACTTCAGCGCCACCTTGCCGAACTTGATGCGCTTGCCGCACGGCGTGCACGTCTCCGGCTTGATGATCGTCTTCGTGACGAACGCGTGCTGCTTGTTGAGACCCTTGCCGGCCGAGTTCCAGCGCTGCATCCCGGGTGAGCGTCGGAACGCATGCATACCCGTCGTCGCCGCGCGCGTCCGACCCGACCCCCAGAACGAGTCGTCCGAGTCCGCCTCGTCCAACGTCTCCGGTTCGGCCAGCTTCGCGAGCGGACCCGGCTCGCTGAAACTCCGGTTCATGCGATTCGCCGCCGCGCCGGCCTTGATCTCCGAGACGGCGCGGATCGGGCCCGTCTCGGGCACGGTGACCGTCGTCGTGGCGACGATCGAGTTGTGGTGCACGCTCACGGCGTCGCCGTCGTCGCTCTTGCGCTTCTTCGGTGGCGTGTCGTTGAGGTCGTCCATCGTCGGCGCGCTTGGCACGCTGCGCTTCTTGCGACTCGCCGGCGAGTTCCGCCAGAGTGAGACGCGGCGGCCGCTGCGCAGCAACGTCTCCCCGTCGGCGCTCTCCTCCGTCATGTCGCAGTCGGACACCGACAGCAGGCTGCCTGTTTCGTCGATAGTACCGAGGTTGCCCTTGGGCGTCGTGCGCTCGGCCGTGTAGTTGACGCTGTTGAGGAAGCTGAGACGCTCGCGATCTTGCGCTGTCAGCATCGACTTGTTCTTGTTGTCGTTCATGATCTGCCCGATGAGGCCCATCTGGCGATCGAGCGTGTCCTTGTCGGACTCGACGCGCATCCGTTTGTTCATTTCACTCTCGATCTGTTGGCGCGCGTGCTTCAGTTTCAGTTCGAGCGACGAGTTCTCAGCTTCCTGGCGGCGCAGCATGGACTTGATTTTCTCGACCTCCGTCTCGCACGACAGCCACCGCGACCTGCATAGCTCCTGATGTTTGACAAACTGGATGATGTCGCCCTCGATTCCTTGGGTGAGGACAGATGTGTTTCTCACAAGGTCGTCATACCTGCAAGACAAAACAGAAACCGTTCATTTTGTTGCTACGAGCACATCTTATACTCACACAAATGCACATTGGCCTGACAGACACCTATGGTGTGATAACTATCAGCAATACCTTGTGTTAAGTCTCCAACTGGTTGGCAAGCTACATTTTTACATGGGGGGATATAGTTTCCAGACTAATTTGTACGCTGTGGCTATATGCCCGGCAGCCGGGCACGGTCTTCGATTTCCTAAATGCCCGGCAGTTCCTAACCCTAACCCTAACTCTGACCCTAATTCTAACCCTAACCCTAATCCTAACCATTGTTTACTTGAGATAACGCTAAAAATTCAAAACCGCCAGGCATTTAGGAAATCGAAGACCGTGCCCGGCAGCCGTCAGATATTAGATACAATAATGTAACCCAAACCCAAGAGGATAGGGTTACAACGCGAGCCTATACCTTTTTGCGGAGGAATGCCCGAGTGAATCACTCGGGCCGGTTTGCTGGTGTATTTTCAGAGACTAGAACTTCAAAACTGGGTTTATTCTAAACACGAACCTTTCTCCGCTATTCGGGAACTTACTTTGTATCGCAATACTCTGTATTAAACTAATATAACCTGTTACAAAAATTCGAAGTGACGAGCGGCGAATCTACTGAGCGCCATTTCTGTTGACCTGTGACGTACGCATTTCCCAATACGCATAGCGATCGGCAAACGCAGCGCCCTCCGATTGGTCGGTGAATCCGCTCTTCAAACCGAAGTACGTCACAGGTCAACAGAAATGGCGCTCAGTAGATTCGCCGCTCGTCACTTCGAATTTTTGTAACAGGTTATATTAGTTTAATACAGAGTATTGCGATACAAAGTAAGTTCCCGAATAGCGGAGAAAGGTTCGTGTTTAGAATAAACCCAGTTTGGAAGTTCTAGTCTCTGAAAATACACCAGCAAACCGGCCCGAGTGATTCACTCGGGCATTCCTCCGCAAAAAGGTATAGGCTCGCGTTGTAACCCTATCCTCTTGGGTTTGGGTTACATTATTGTATCTAGTCAGATATATGCCGGCTGCCGGGCATATAGCCACTCTGTAATTTGTAGGTGTACATAAATTTCAAAGAGCGCTGGATAGGTTTGGTATGTGTTGATGAAATAGTGCATTGTTAAATCAAAATTGCTATGCCACCCTGCAGACTATAGGTGGTACCGTAGCCGTAGGTACTGTCATATTTGATATTTATTGTATGTACAGTTCAACTATGTCTATCGTCCAGGTTTGTATGGCGATATATCGATGAATCGTCCCATGGCATATCATATGACATAAAAATTACGATTCCTGCCCTAGGAAATATCAAAGTCACACCCTTCTTTTAACAACACCAACATTCATAACGACGCACTCAAAACGCGCCGTTTCTTTCCACAAACATTACAACGGCGTCCGGAAACTTAACGATAAGGCAAAAAATTAGATCAACACAAACCTTGCCACAAGAGATAACTTGCTCATGTTCATTGTTCCAAATTCAGTGACTAGTCCCGCGAGATGGAAGTAGAATGCAGAAATAGGTAAACCTGCAAATAGCCAAAGCCAAAGGTTACAAAACATTGCTTCAGCAGTTTACCATCAATATAGATAATACATATTATGCTCTCGTACAAGGGCTAATGATTGAAAGTAGTAATTTAGTCTTATTCGACGACTGGACCTCAATTTAGACTCGAGTCGCATTCGTCGACCGACCAAAATCATTCAAACCAATCGCCATTCTATGCAGCCTTGGCTAAAAGACTCACTAACCACCGGTAAACAGCTTCATTAACGTTCGAAGAGTAACGCAAACAAAGGTTAACATACGTTACCTTCATATACAGTTCATACTATTTTAAATCTCCACTAAACACGAACCAACATCTTCTATTTTGATTGCAGGCTGACCGAGAAACGAACAAGTTGATAATCCACAATATCGCGCACTTCTTTCAAAATCAATCGTGGCCAATCAGAACGTAGTATGTCACGTGATATACTAATCCCGCGATGCATCTCGCTACAAACAAGTTGTAATGTTTTGATGAACTTGCTGAAGTCTGAGTAAAGCTTACTTTATCGTATAGTTTTATTTATATATATGCTACATGTTATTATACATAGATCACTTATCACTGAACTGTGATAGCGTGAGTGTCAAGTACCTCACGACTGACACGAGTTAGTAACGCATACGGTCAGTAAAAGTCTATACTGTACTTGTAGTTGTAGACTATGTCTATACTGACTATAGTCTATAATTATACTGAATTAGTGAATATATACATTCCTCTGATAGTGATAGTGATACTCCTCTATAACCCTAACCATAAGGCATAACCCTAACGCACTTCGTGATACTTCTACTTCTACTTCTACTTCTATACTGGACAGTCCGTAAGGAATAAACGTCCAGGGCTATAGCTAGCCATGGTGTGTGTGACCTAGCTTGGGTACAGCCAGGTAGTTAGCCTTTTTTTTAGCCGAATGGCACTGAGGGTGGTCACAGCCAGAGTTTTTTGCGCCCTCAGTGGTTCTTTTACGTCCCCATTGGTCTTAGTATTACTATATTTACTAATACTGGAGACAGGACCGCCATTTTACGTGGTCATCCGAGCCACGGGAGATTCACAGTCTCCAATGTTGAGAGCCAGGTTTTTACACCTTCAGAAAATTCACTGCCCCATCCGGGGTTTGAACTCACAGCCTTCAGTGGACAGTATACGTGGCCTAACCACTGGACCACGAGGGCTCTCATTATAACCTAAGGTTATAATTTATGACTTAGGGTTAGGGTTAGGGTTTTTGCATCATTCCTTGATATACGGAAAGTGTGCATCATGCAGTTGATGATACACAGAAATCTGTGCATCACTTCGTGATACGGCTAACGTGCCTAAAGTGGATTTGCGCCCTTGCGACTGGCTGGTCGGGGTTCGATAAATAGCAACCCCGTTCTGCGCCTACCGTAGTGTGTATAAGAGTGTAGCCGGGGTTCGATAAATAGCAACCCCGTTCTGCGCCTACCGTAGTGTGTATAAGAGTGTATACAGGCTGGTGTATACACTCACATATACACTCTTATACACACTACGGTAGGCGCATAATGGGGTTGAAATATATTTATCGAACCCCGACCAGCCAGTCGCAAGTGCCTGTGCTCTTACTCTTAGACCATCGACTATCTTAGACTATCGAGTACCAATGGCATTGTACTAAACCAATGTCTTCCCACCATCTCATTAGCTGTAGGTATCATAAACACATGGCTTTATTGAACGTCTTTTCTTCTAATGTGATGAACAAAATGTGGTATATTTCTCGTCTTTTTTCAGATTTGAGATATTTTTGCATAAGCTGTTTTCATTTCACACAAAGGTCATCTCCGTTCACAACTCAAATTTACCCACTTTTTCTGATACACCTTGGCTCCCTTCTGCTCTGCATTCATCTTACTGTGCTTCAGCAGAATTCCTGTATTTGCCCCATTTAAAAAACACTTAAAGAGGCTAGATATAGTTGAACGGCTACTGATTTAAGACGTGGCGCAGGGCTCGAATTAACCGACGGCACCGACGGCAATTGCCGGCGGTGCCCCTATCAATCGCCGTACTGCCCCTGAAAATCCAACCCGACCGACGGCAGTCACCTGCCTTGCCCTTTTGTGTAATTGCCGTCGGTGCCCTTTAATCTACTGCCCTAGTTTCGTTTTTAGTCGAGTCAACATAACACGTGCGCGTGCGTGCTGTAGTTGCAATGGTGAGCTTAAAACCGATAGTCGCAGGAGGGAATAATAACAGCATCGGATAATTATTTGCTCCTGATAGCGGGCATGTAAAATTTCTTGTTACTGTACTTCCATTAGCAGAAGGGGGTACAGGGGTCGGTGTTACGGTGTAAGCTTACATGGGTGCCTATTGTTTTGTACATTAAAAGCAAGACGATGTTGATGTAATAATTTGTTATGAGTTTTCCTTTATTTTACAAAAGTGCCTTTGTGCCCTTCTCAAATTTTGAGAGTTGCCTTGGTGCCTTTTAAAATTGCCTCTGTGCCCTTCCATTTTAGAGAAAATTCAAGGCGATTTCTCACATGCCCTAAAAAAATTGCCTTGCCCTTCTCGTCGCTTAATTCGAGCCCTGACGTGGCGCCACAAAAGACTAACGGACAAAGAAGAATGAGAGAGCGAGAGGGAGAGAGAGAGAGAGAGCGAGAGGGAGAGAGAGAGAGAGAGAGAGAGAGAGAGAGAAAGAGAAAGAAAGAGAGAGACAACGAGGGAGAGTGAGTGTGAGCGAGCGAGAGAGAGAGAGAGAGAGAAAGAGAGAGAAAGAAAAAGAGAAAGAAAGAGAGAGACAACGAGGGAGAGTGAGTGTGAGCGAGCGAGAGAGAGAGGGAGAAAGAGAGAGAGAGCAAAAGAGTGAGAGAGAAAGAGAGAGAGAGAGCGAGAGAAAGAGAAAGAAAGAGAGAGCGAGAGAGCGAGAGACAGAGAGAGAAAGAGAAAGAAAGAGAGAGACAACAAGGGAGAGTGAGTGTGAGCGAGAGGGTGAGAGAGAGGGAGAGAGAAAGAGAGAAAGAGAAAGAAAGAAAGAGAGAGAGAGAGAGGGAGAGAAAGAGAAAGAAAGAGAGAGACAACAAGGGAGAGTGAGTCTGAGCGAGCGAGAGAGAGCGTGAAGGGAAGAGAGAGAGCGAGAGCGAGAGAGAGAGAGAAAGAGAAAGAAAGAGAGAGACAACGAGGGAAAGCGAGTGTGAGAGAGAGAGAGAGAGAGAGAGAGAGAGAGAGAGAGAGAGAGAGAGAGAGAGAGAGCGCGAGGGGAAGAGAGAGAGAGTGATTTTGTTGTCTATGCCTACCAAATTACCAATGGCTACATTGTAGTACACGCACAGTAGTAGGTGCACGTTGACCTATGAGTATTTGGCAGATATAGCATATGTTCTGTTGTGATGTGGCGATACACAGCCGTAGTAAAGCAAAATAAGAATATAGGGACAAGGGAAAATAGGGACGGGGGAACATGGAGTGGACCCCCTCCCAGGCGCCACTCACCCCTAGCAGCCATAAACATGCTCCGCCTGCACGCGACATCACTTTGCGCTACAGGCATGAAACAATCGGGGGGGGGCGCTCATCAATCGACACCGCCGCTCTCCACAACGCACGTTCATCGTACGCGCTAGCAGCAAGTGCGACATACGCTGGCTATCTGCAACACCCGTTATTGATTACACATCTCCCCCTTCGTCGTTGTACCGCCTACACTATATTTAGATTCTAAACCGTTGACTTCGGTGTGCGCGTATCAGGGCCGCGAGTGCCTCTGACGTAATTTTGTTGGCTCCTACCGAAGTGCATGTCGGGATAGTGAGCTCCTCATTTATCCACAATACACTTCACTGGGTCTAGAGTCTGAACGCATACAGTCTCTTTAATATTATAATATTAATAAATTATAAAAGCGTTGATATAGTACAAAGTCACTTTTTCTCGCAGGAGTTAAAAAATGGCAGAAGGCAAACTAAATGATAACTTGGACAAGTTCTCGGTGCCAATCATTGCACTGGAAGTTGGACTGAAACATTGGCAGTTGGATACTATTGAGTTCTTCTTGAAGAGCAAAGAAAATGGTAAGAATTATAATTATTACCCTTCACAAGAAATTCAGTGTTGGTTCCTCAACTCCCAGACTTTCTTTGTAGGCTTGACTGTTAGTAATTATGTAACCTGGTCAGTTCCACGGTGAGTTGTGTTACTTGTGTAGCATATAATAACAGTGAAAGCCTATATTGTGTTTCAAATTTCCTGTCGCCACCAGCCACCAGCCACCATCGCCCTTCATTCAACGTTTCCTGGGCACATGTAACATTACTCCTGACACATGTAACATTGGGTATTCTATTTATTTTTCAGAGTTGAATGGCATGGGTCCCGACAAGAACATTTCTATAGAAACTGGAGAGGAGTTGCGTGAGATCATACTCATCCTGGTCAATGCAGTAGAACGGAATTTGACGGATCTACAAACTCGATCGTTTGCCAACCGACTTCTGTCACTTTCTCTTAACTTTCTCAATAAATTGATGCAAATTCTCTGCGAGTGCCAAATCGTGCCAACCAAATCTGCCGACGTCAACAATGCTGAAGGCATTCCCAACGAAGTCGGCCATGTTGCGAACCTCGTTATGTCGTCGATATCGCGGCTGCGTGGCTCAGTTGAAGATTTGCGTGAAGAGGAGGATGTGGGAATCCCCAGGAGCCAGTGCGTGCCTGTATACATCTCTGACTGCAATGACATGTCATCAGATGAAATCGTTGAGCGTGCTATTCTCTCTGGTCGGTCCCCAGAGTGTCAGCATTACTTGTATAATTGCCGGGGAGTTGATCTTCTGCAACTAGACAAGGCGATTCGGACCGGCCTTGTTCTCGTCTTACAAAGTCTCCTGAACAGAGACATTCTGCGGGCATCTCGGCTTCTCACTAACATGGGCTTCGACGACACGTCAAACCTGAAAAAGATTTGCATGTTTACGTTTAACAGGCCATTGAGGGAATACCTCGCTCAGTGGCTGATGCAGGCAGGTCACCTAAGCTCCACAGAGCAGGCATCTCTTACATTCCTCCTCCAAGTTGAAGAGCTTTATAGCTGTCCGTCATTCGCTAACGCGAAGCAGATGAGGTTAGAGTCGGAGGGCAACAGTTGGGGTGCGTCTCCAGCTATGCGAGTCCTTCTAACAGAGGCGACGTTGATCGCAGACGTAGCAGACTGCCACCTGAGTCAGCCAGACGACGTGCACGTGACGCACAGCGAAAGCAGTGCGTACAGTCGCCTCTGCTTGCATTGGGTGCAGGGATGGGACGCGGCGACGCGGCAGAAGGTGCTTGCCGAGAGACGGCTGGAAACTGCCAGCGACCACAGCTTGAAGGAGACTGCCAGCGGCGGCAGCTTGAAGGAGACTGCCAGCGACCGCAGCTTGAAGGAGACTGCCAGCGGCGGCAGCTTGAAGGAGACTTCCAGCGACGGCAGCTTGAAGGAGACTGCCAGCGACGGCAGCTTGAAGGAGACTGCCAGCGACGGCAGCTTGAAGGAGACTGCCAGCAACGGCAGTTTGAGAGAAGCGACTGCAGCGGACGGCAGCTTGAAGGGAGATCTGCAAGCCGACGCAGCTTGAAGGAGCACTGCAGCACGACAGCAGCTTGAAGGAGCACCGCAGCGGATGGCAGCTTGAAGGAGACGGCCAGCGACGGCCAGCTTGAAGGAGACTGCCAGCGCCGGCCCAGCTTGAAAGGAGACTGCAGGGACGACAGCTGAAGGAGACTGCTAAGCCGGGTAGAACTACGGCAGCTTGAGGAGACTGACACAGCCGACAGCAGCTTGAAGGAGACTGCCAAGGCGATGGCAGCTGAAGGCCAGACTGCCAGCAGACAAGCAGCTTGAAGCGAGGACTGTCCAGCGACGGCCAGCTGAAGGTAGACTGCCCAGCGGATGCCGCCAGCTTGAACGAGAGCTGCCAGGCCGACGCCAGCTTGGAAGGAGACTGCCAGCGACCGCAGCGTGAAGGAGACTGCCAGCGACGGCAGCGTGAAGGAGACTGCCAGCGCCGGCAGCTTGAAGGAGACTGCCAGCGACCGCAGCGTGAAGGAGACTGCCAGCGACGGCAGCTTGAAGGAGACTGCCAGCGACGGCAGCTTGAAGGAGACTGCCAGCGATGGCAGCTTGAAGGAGACTGCCAGGGACGACAGCTTGAAGGAGACAATCAGCGACGACGTGCTCTGGGACTACCTGCTCGCTCACGGCGACTGGCCGCGGCTGCGATCTTGGATCGAGCGCGGCGCGGGCGTCACGTCGAGCATGGCCGACCGACTCGACGACGGAGATGCCGGCACAGACCTCCTGCGCGAGCGCGCGAGAGACTGCCTCGCCGCCAGGGGGCGCTTCTCCGCGGGCGAGCGACGCAGCTTCGGCCTCGTGCTCCACCGGTTGGTCGGCGCGCGGCGGCTGATGGCCGACGACTCGCCGCACGATGCCGTGTTTCGTCGCGCGTTCGTCGAGTTTTGCGTCGCGGAAATACTCCCGCACATTCTCTACGGCTACGCGAGTCGGTTCGCGCTGAGGGAGCGTTCACCGTGCTTTGCGGCGCGGGATCTGCCGGACTGGGTTCGCATGATGCTGAAGTTTCAGCACGTGGAAGACTTCGAGAAGATCAGCGCGGGTGAGGCGAGCTGCGAGGCTGTGTCGGAGGCGAGTAGGGCGAACATGAAGATGCTTCTAGGCATTGATGCATGTCACTTGCGGCTGATGACGGAGCATGGTAGACCACTGCTGGTGCTAGCAGATCTCTTGTATAGCAGTGATAATGTTTGCGAACGGTTACGGGGGAACCTGAAGGAGGAGGAGACAATTCGAGCCGCTCTCGCAGATTATCCGAAGCTCTTAGACGTGATCTTCTCAAACGTTCCACCAGATGGCAGCACTTCGCCGGACATGACGATGTACCAGCTGTTGCAGGAGAACTGTCCCTTTGATGTTTCCCGGCTGTTCTCCTGGCAAGGTTCAAACGCTCTGCGTTCGCAGGACGACGAGGAACGGCAAGCGAACATGCCGTCGTTCACGACACCGGCGCTTGCGCAGTTCGCCTACCAAAAGGAGTTAAACTTCTTGTACTATCTGCGACACGGCCGCCCGTCCTTTGCAGCCGTGTCTTTTCTCACGCAGGACAGCGGTGTTCTCAGCGGGAGAGGGCCGAGCAAGGCGGGCACGCGGCTCGTCTGCCGCAAGGCCTACACGCTGGCGACGAGGAACTTCAACCGGCGCACGATCACCGCCGCCTGCGCCGCGTTCTTCGAGTTTCTGCGCGAGGACAGCTCCCGGCTTCGCATTGACGTTCATGCGGCGACGCTCATCCTCGCCCACAGCCTCGCCGTCGCTGCGCCGACGACAGCCGAAGTCCACAGCGCCAACGAGCGTGCGTGCGCCGTCGCCACGCCGACAACGTCCGAAGTCCGCAGCGCCAACGAGCATGCGTGCGCCGTTGCCGCGCCGACGAAGGCCGAAGTCCGCAGCGCCAACGAGCGCGCGTGCGTCGGAGAGATCGGCCGCCTGCTCTTCGCGCTTTCCCGCGGGGACCGCGACGCGGGCGACGCCCTGCAGGCGCGTCTCGGCGCAGCGACGGCGCGTTACATCGAGGAGCGGCGTCTCGGCGAGACGTCGATGGAGGCCCTCGAGGCGTGGTGGCCGGCTGCTCTGTTCGCGCAGGCTCACGATCTGCCGCTGCCGCCCGACTTCCTTCACGCGTGTGCCGAGCGCAACCACTGGTTTGGATTCTTCGTCGGAGCCGAGTTGCACCGGTATCCGCGGCGATCGCTCGACACCGCCGCCGCGCGATTCCACGACCCCCATCTCCGCGAGCACGTGCAGTGCGCAGTGCGGCATGCACGTGGAGGCGCCTCCGAGCGGCGGCGGCGGCGTGAGGGTCGTGACCTTCCAGAGGAAGAAGGCGAAGGGGGCGGCATGTCGACAGAAACGCGCGACGCGGGATCCGTGATCGAGCACGACGTCATCGCAATCGTTCTTTCCGCGCAGCGGAGCAGCGGCGGCGAGGCGCGGCGCACCCTGGTGGAGAAAGCGTACGCAACGCGCAGCGCAGCCGTCGCGCTGCTAGCCAGCTGTTTCGGCGATGACGACGGGCGGGAGACTGACTTAGACTGCCTCTGCGTGTGGCTACTGTGTCACCTCCCTGCAAGTTACTGGCGGCAAGCGACCGCGCACATTAGCGATGGGGAGACGCACGCCTGGTGTCTTGGTGACCTCTCTGTGATCATGGCCGCTGCCGTGGAGTCGGGCAACCTGAAGGACCTCGCTCTCGCCTTTGCGATCTTCCAGAACGATTCCCCCATGTTGCCGTTGCTGCGTTTCCTCGTGGCTTTCGCAGAGAGTGAGGATGATGGCGATTCGACTAAACACATCCACGCCTTCAAGCAGGCGTTCGCGAAGTTCTGCCGCGAGCCGAGATCGGCGTGGGCAGACTGCGCTGGCGATCGCCTCTGGTTCGAGTCGATCGCCGTCGATCTTCTCAAGACGTTTCTGATCGGGGCGTCGTCGGGTAGATGGCGGGTCTCGCGGCTGCTCCGCTGCGTCGTCGACAATGACCTGACCGCGGGGTTCTCGTCACCGTCGGACGCCGACTTCCCGCGCGCGCTCCGAGTCGTTGCCGCGGCGACGGCCGCCGACGTCGACGTAGCCGTGAGCACCCTCTTGCGCGGCGAGCCGGCGTTCGGGCGCGAGTGCGCACGCGCGCTCGCGTGCATGCTGGGTCGGCACGCGTTTGCGGACGCGCGGCGCTTCGCGGAAGCCGCAGGGATTCCGTCGGAGCCGATCGTCATCGGTGAAGCCACTCACTACCTCGCCGCCGTGCAGGCTCTGCCGGTGTGGCAGGACGTCGCCGCGAGGCACGCCTACTGGCGCAGCTGCAGTCGCTCGTTCGCGCAGAGTTCGCTGCCGGCCGCCACCGCCGCCGCGTTCTTCCAGGAGCACGCGGCGCGCTGCGGCGATGGCGGGTGCGATCGCGTGCAGCTGCTGCAGCTCACGCTGCACTGGCTAGGCGAGGAGGACCAGCGCGTGAACGCCTACCACACCGAAGAGCTCGTCTACTCGCAGTGGCTCGCGTTCATCCGACTCACAGTGAAGCGGCTGGCGGGCGAGGACGCGAGCGAGCGTCCGAACGTGGAGGACGTCGCGGCGAGGGGGAGCCACGCGCGCCGCGACATGGTGCTGACGCGGGAGCGAGCGTTCGCGGGGCTTCACGAGCGCGGCTGGCCGCAGCGCGAGATGCTCACGCTGCGGGAGCGCGACGCACTCGACGACGTCGTCGGCGCACTGCTCGACCGCTTCCTCGTGCGCGACGCCTGCCAGGTGGCGCTGCGGTTCCGCCACAACAGCGGCGACCTCGCCGTCGTGCGAACCTGCATGGAGCTCGCCGAGGGCGTCACCATGCCGACGGAGGCGATGCTCGGCGTTGCCGCGGAGACGCCGCGCAGCATGACGCGCGACGCCAGCTTCTCGAATCTGCTTCCGCTGCCGGTTGTCGACGCCGACATTCTCTCGGCGATGAAGACGCTCACGCGCCGCGCCCGCCACGGCCGCCGCTGCTGCCGCCGCGTCATCACCTGCTACCAGGTGGCGTCGGTGCTCGGCCGCGGCTACGAGTCGGTGATGGCGGCGCCGTACTTCGACGTGCTTCGCGAGCTGCTGCTGACGGAGGACTCCGCCTACTTTGCGCTCGCGAAGGATTTCGTGCGCGGCGGCGGCGTCGACGACGCCGAGATGTCCGCGTTCCTCGCCGACGCCGTCATCTCGTCGCTGAAGATCTACGTCGGCTTCGGCGGCAGCGTCACATCGGAGATCTCGCCGCGCAGCAGCAGCGAGCTGCTCTTCAACCCATCGGACACGTCAGACAGCTTCTGCCGGCTCGCGTGTCTCTGCGGCGACACGTCGCGGCTCGGAAATCTCCTCCTGGAGGCGGCGGCAGCGCTGGCGCGCAGCGACGCGGCGGGCCGCGCCGCCATGTCGATGCGCGTCGAACTTCTCATCCGCGCGCACGACTGCTACACGGCATGCTGCCACACGGAGGGCATCTCGCGCGTTCTCGCCGCGGCACGCGCCGCAGCCTCCGCCCTCGCCGCCGCGGACGAGCACGCGCTAACGACCCGGCTGCTGACGGGCGTCGCGCGCTACGGCGAGATGACGTACGTCTTCGACGAGCTGCAGCGCCAGCAGCAGCTCATCCTGCTGCTGCGCAAAGGCGTCGACAAGGACCCGCGCCTCAAGGTGGCGCTACTCGACCACCTCGAGCGGCGGCGGCCGCGCGATCGCGAGACGTACACGATGGTGGCGCTGCACTTTGCGATGCACCGCGAGATCGCCGAGATGCTCGAGGAGGCTGCGTACGCGGAGCTCGAGCGGTACGCGGCGCGGCGCGACGCCGACGACGACCGGCGCCACCTGCAGGACATCGTGCAGTACTTCGTCGACGCGGCGCAGAGCTACGCGAAGGAGGCATGCCTGCGTCACGCGACTGCTTGCTGGCACATGGCGCGCGTCGTCGCGCTGCAGGCGCGGCTGCTTCCGTCGCGCGTTGCCGTCGTCTGCCTCGCATCGCCAAACGACTTCATCCAGACGCACCCAATACTCAGCGAGGCGGTCGTCGTCGCGAACGCGTATGACTGCGTCGCCGACTGGACCGGCGCCCTCTATCACAACGCGGTCGTCGCCGGAAACGCGTGCTACGTCGACGACATGCGCGCGGCGCGCATGCTCACACCGGCGCTCGTCAGCGGCGTCTGCCAGCGCTACCTGGTGGAGAAATCGAAGACGGCAGCGATGGCGGCGCACGTGAAGCGCCTCCTGGAGGAGTGCTGCGGTGACCCGCTGGTGAAGCACAGGTTGGCCAGTGAGCTCGGTTTCACGGACGTGTGCGCCGACCTACTGGCCAGCAGTGCTGGACCCTACCTCAAGGATCGCATCGGCACCAGCTGACCTGCCACGAGAGGGCGCTGATTGTGCCGGCCTGCCACAAGAGGGCACTGATCGTACCGACCCACCACAAGAGGGCGCTGATCGTACCAACCCACCACAAGAGGGCGCTGATTGTGACAATTTGACAGGAGAGCGTGCTAATTATTTCGACCTTCAATACGAGGGAGTCGATTACATCAGTGCCAGCTGCCCCATCACGAGAGGGCACTAGCCATAGGGGCTTGATGAGGGAGAGCGAGGGAGGAAAGAGGTCGAGAGAGAAAACTATGATAGATATAGAGAGATACAAAGAGAGAGAGAGAGAGAGAGAGAGAGAGAGAGAGGGGCGGAGGGAGAGAGAGAAATAAGAGAGAGAGCAGAGAGAGCCAGACGGAGGGAGAGAGAGAAACGAGGAGAGAGAGAGGGAGGGAAGAGAGAAATAGAGAGGGAAGAGGAGGAATAGAGAGGAAGAGATGAGAGGGAGGTGGTGTGTAGGAGAAGAAGATGAATGCAGGATGTACTTGAAATACAGCAACATTATTATAATAAAAAAAACACTAATCATAAATAGAAAAAAGGAGAGCAAAGCACTAAGATTCATTATGAAACGTTATTCTTATAAAGTCTTGTTATTTTTATGAATAGCTAAGCGTATACCTATATTAAATTATTGTGAATTACAACATCTTTAGTTGCGTGATGATTTTTGTGCTCAATTATATATGCAAACGTACTAAAACGTTGCATTAACTTCTCTTACTATTCACGGCAGTTTTCTCAATGGTAGCGACAAAGGGACCGGCTGCTGCCCATAGTTTGTAGAAAGAAAAAACGTAACGTAAATAACCCTATATGTGCGTAAATCGTTAATGATCATTATTATTCGTGTATTAATTTTGAAAGTCTCGTCTCTAAGAGCCACGATCGCCTCAACGTAGTCATGAAATTGATGTCTAGCGCTAGAAACTTGAACAGGCCGTAGCCCGAAATGTGTTCAATGAACTGACCGAAGTTTGAACCACAGCTGGGGAGCGATACCTTAGAATTAGACTGTAAAACTAATTCATTGAATTACCTCTGTCTAATTTGCAATGCTGTCAAGTTTGAATCGAAGAAATATATTGAATGAATTTTAATTAGCTAGTTAGTTACCTACTTTGAATGATGTAATGAACAGAAAAAACTAAGAAATTACATTTATCTACACGCCTTTGACGGCTTAACATGTAGACCTTTGACCTATTTCTTAAAGTGAGGTCTACTGATGGAATTTATCGATATAAAGCTATTGCATAGGAGATCTCCACTCCCATTATTAAATGCATAATTTTTGCAAAATATTGCTCGTAAGCATATTGTATATTAGCGCACGCACGATCACGATTCAGCGCTACGCCGGACGGCACTGAGGAAAATGCATAATAAGCTGCTGACAGAGAGATGAGAGCAGAGATAAGGTGGTTAAAGTAATCGTCTATTTGCTGAAATGTTACTTCATATAAAGTATATTGCTAAAATACATTCCTCTAATTGTTAAATGCATTAATTTTTGCAAAATAGTTCTTCTCGCGGAGATATTGCGCTGCGGCAGAGCACCGTTTCAAGGCCGCTGCATGAGCGCATTGAAAAAAAACTGCATAATATACGAAAGCTGAGACGGAAGTGGTTCGAGACTTGAAAAAAGCGGCAGGCAAGATTTAGTTCAGGAGCCGGTTAAAAGGAAGAAGGAGCCTGCAGGCTAGATGGGACAAAGAAAGGGAAGAGGAGGGGATTGGCAGCAGGGCCCCCACCAGGAGCAGCGTTCGCCACTGACTGGCCGGAGCGCTCGCCGCTGGATGTCGGTGGGAACCGCAGCGCCACTGGCAGGCGTCGCGCACGGATGGGAAGCGCGTCGGAGCGAGTGCTCGAGCTTGGAGCGTCCGTCGTGTGCCGTCGCCGCTCCGCAGCCGTTGCAGCATCTCGCCGCTGCGGCCAGACCAATCGGGCCTCGCTCCTGTGGGAAAGCCCCACACCGCCGAACGCCGGGATGAGGCTCGCTCGCAGCGGATTTTGCCACCATGTCCCAGCTAGCACCCAGTGTCTAGCGCTGGCGATCTGCGCCTACGAGTATATCACACGCAGTCAACTGGAATAACAATGGTATTACGCTAGGAAATCTCTCTGCTTAGTGATACCCACTAAGCCTAACGTCTCGCCCCTCAGCCGCGACTTCTTGCACTCAGTATTCTTCTTCCTGGAACGATATGTTCCGCTGCATGCGCGAGCAGCACCGTTTTAGCGGCGTCCCTCGCTCTCGGCCCAGTTACGGACTCCTCTGAAGGTGGCACAACCGCCCTGATGTTTCCAATGATTAGCCTTTTGCCTGACTGAATGGAGGGACAGAGTGAGTTTTGAGACTATAAAAGCGCAGAAGACCCACTGCGAGTAGACGACCTCTGGGCAGCGGAAAGCATAGGGGCCTGGGACTATCCGGAGAAAAAGACAGGAGCTGCAGCGAACGACAATTAGCGCAACGAGACGGGCGGGAGCGGCGCGAATAGGATTTTGCACCCTGCAGGCGTAGGCGCTCTGCCTAATTATGAATACGCCGCGTATACTGATAACAATTAATACAGAAATCGATGCTGAGCATACCCCTTAACCATATTCAATCTATCAATCAGTCACAAAATATAAACTCTGTTAGCTGAGATATGCGCGATGCGCTAACACCACTAACGTAGCCTAGATGATGCACTGGCTTTATAGGCAGCGGGGTTTCTTACGGTGCGATTGCAAGGTCTTGACGTCCTATTCTTAAACTGGATATCTGCACTAACTGAAATTTTATCATGCTACAGAACTATTTAGACTAGAATACCTGTCGCTCTGCTTTTAGAATGCATGTAGTTTTTCGCGAACAGAACTTAATATTCTCGGTTTTCGAACGCTGAGCATATTGCGCGCATCGCCTCCCTATCGCCTAGCCCGTCTCAGCACCGTTTCAGGCGTGCCAGTACGGACTGGAAGGCAACTGTATAATCATCAGGAGTAGCATAATAGGAATTTCCCATTAATATGTATACAGGATACACGCCACGCGTCCGGCGTGCATCAGTGTAAATGCAGCGCTGCGCGAGTATCTTTAGACGGCGGCGCCGCACTCGCGCACGGCACACAATTGCGTCTAAACAGCAGGAATTGCTCCGCCACCTGGATTGGAGGATAAAAATAGACCCCGCCACTTTTACCATTTTTGCGATGCCAAGTCCGATATTAGAGCTAGGCAATGTCCTGCCAGGAAATCCTCTTTCTT